GCTTCCTGCTGTGCTGCCCACCTCCTTCCCAATCTACCTTGAGCCACACACTGAGGCTGCCCCCGCCACCCACGCTGAAGTTTGGTCATCCCTGGGCTAGAAGAAACACTTGCATCTTGGCTCATGGGACACCAAACTGGATCCACAGAGCCCTTGACATCGGCACAACCAAAGCTGTCCGTGCCAGGGCATCTGGCCCAGCTCAGGTAGCTTCTGCTCCTAGAGCGGATGGGCTGTCCAGGGCCAGAGCTGATGCCAGCGCTCCCACTGGGAGGGAAGGTGGTGGGAGAGGACTTCAGGGAGCTCCCAGGGCAGAAATGCCTTCTCCGCCGGAGCTCTTCATGCTGTGGGGTAATGCTAAGAGCTGATGACACTAGAGGAGACTGCGGCCAAAGTAACCGGAAGTGGAAGCGCCAGTTCCCCCTTGTTACCCTGCAGCCGCTCAACCAGGCTGGAGCTGCGCTGTCCGGCCCAGAGCCGAATCCTGCCTCAGGCCTGCCTTCACCCCAGCACTTCATCCCAGTTACAGTGGTAAAAGGCAGCACCTCCGGCTTCCCCAAAGAGGCGCAAATGCCTGAAGCACGGCTGTCTAGATGGCAGGCCCCTGCCCTTCGGGAGCGGAGGTGTTGGCTCCTGTCCCAAGGAGCCTACAGTGTGAACACGAAAGGGGAACGGGATCGGCAGCCGCACCGGGGTTGGAGAGGAGCCTCCTGCCTTTGCGGGTTGCAGAGCATGGACCGCAGGGCCTGGAATAACTTGCAGGGCACAGGCTCTGGCTTGCCCGCATCGCACACCTGACTCAGTTTGAGCTGGGTCCTTTCTCCCTTCTGCCTCATTGCCAGAAACTAAGGAGCTGACATCTGGCTGTGCCCATGATGTTGAGCAAAGCAGCGCCACGCATCAGGCCATGCTCGGTCACAGCGTGCCCAGGCACAGCTCTGCTCGGTCGTGCCCTCACTCGCGTCTGAACCCAGTGGCCTCCACAATTGCTAGTCTGTCAGAGACACCAGTGCTGCATAGGGGAGGTACGTTCAGACCCAAGCCTGCAGCATCCTTCTACTGGTGTGAACTGGGAGTGGAGCCATTGCAAGAGAAGCCTTGGCTTGTTTCTGAGCGACTTGCTGCTTCTGCAAGCACCCTGCAGCAGGGACTGGATGTGCACAGGAGCAAGGGTATGATTCATTCCTCTGGCTGAGTTGAGATTTGGGCCTCAATCCAAAAGATTCCCACAGGATTCCCCAAGTTTCCCTTCTCAAAGGCTTTGCACGGGGCTTTTGAGAGGAGAGAGGCATCTGAGCAGGGCAGAACCCCAGGAAGTCTTCGAGCTTCAGGCTTCCCTCCTGCCTTGAGGACAAGCTGATGGAGAGGAGACTTCAAGTCTCAAAGAAATCCATCCATGGTGTTTTTGCTGCCGTGTCCTGGACCATGACTAATGAAAAATCATTGCTGATGAGCTTTCTGGAGGCTGGCCAGAGAGCTCAGAGCATGGTTCTGGGTGTGGGAGAGTGGAGGGGAAGGGGTAGAGGAAAGGGGAGAGATTTGGGGCTTGCCATCGATTTTTATAAAGCGACATCTGCTTTCGCTTCCTCATTTGTGGCCTCGAATGCATTCGTTCCACTCAGATCGAAACCTTAAAATCCCCGCTGGCTGCCTCCTTGCCTTCACATGGACCTGATATTTGCTCTGGACCCCAGCGTGAAGGACTGAAGCGTCTCCATTAGAGGCTGTCCTGTCTCTGCTCTTTTAGGGTGACACCGTGCTCTTGGCTTACCTAGTCAGACAAGGATGCCCCTGCTTGACCCAGCTGGCTGTTGGGTCAGGGTGCAACTGCAGGACTCTGGACTGCTGTCAGCAAGGGGGTGAGGAGTGAGCTAGCCAGGCCCACAGGTGAGAATAAGATGCACCTCTCCAGGGCCTTTGGCTCTGCCTGAGCAAGCAGACAAGGGGGTTTAACCCGTGAAATGCTTGCGAGGTGCTGGCAGGGGTCACAGACCCATGCGGATGGGTGGGTGGATGTGCTAGCAGGAAGCCTCACTTAGTTGCTCTGGGCTAGTGCAGAATCTGGCCTGCAGCCCTTGTAAAACCCTGACTTGCTCAGTCAGTCCCCACAGCGCTTGGAGCGTGACAGTGTGCGTTTCAAGCACCCACACTGAACACCTTCAAGAGAAATTTGGAAGCTTTTCTTGCTGGGATCCTATGACCCCAGCTGACTTCCTGCCCCTGGGGCAGGGGCTGGACTCAATGATCTACTGAAGTCCCTTCCAGCCTGAATGTCTATGAACTATGAACTCATCAGTAGCATCTGGGGCAGCTCGAAACAGTGCAGTGACAGCTGGGCCTGCCCTCGTGCTTGCATGCTTGTCATTCTTCTGCACGTGCTATCTAAAACCAGAGGGAAGGTGGGTGAGATGTGCAATTGGCTCGCTCTGCAGCAAGACCTACCCCGTTATACATTTGTGTCCCTAAAGGGGAGGAAAAATGCCTCCCAGAAGTGAGAGGTGGCAGAGGCTCTGGGAGGCATTGCTTGAGCCCTGGGCTGGGTGGAGGATGCTGAAGCAGGAGTCTCAGCCAGTCACTTAGGGCTGACTCCATCTATATTGCACCGCTGATTAGCTCCAAGTGGCAAGGCGGTGCTGGGACTGGGGACAGCAATACATTCACTGAGACCTCAGTGGGTGAAATGCCTTGAAGACTGAAAGCAGCCTGCAGGAGGTGACCATGCTAATTATTTGGGGTTGGGCGGGGGAAGGCTCCTGCCACCCTAGCCATCACAAGCATCCTATTTCCCTCCGCTCTAAATTTAAACAGCGCAGTTCTGGGGCTTCCTCCTCGCGTTATCAAAAGCACCCAAAGAAGCGGGCCGCAGTTCTGTAAATACTGTTGGCTTCTTCCTTCCTCTGTGTGTGTGTGCATGCTTTCCACAGGGCATGGAAGCCTGCCAGCACCTAATGCTGACACTTTTAATTTGCTTTTTCGTGTCGTAGAAGATCGACTCTGCTCTTGGAGGGACGGCTCTGGTGTTTTGTTGGGTTTTTTTCCCTCTTTCTCGTTGTTTCCCTCCCCCCGCTTTCCAATTTAGACGTGCTGCAGCGAGGAAGGCTCAGGAAAAGCTTTGCAGGGCTGGCCGGGTTTTTGGTACAAGTCAGTCTGGTAGCAGCGTTTGCTGAGATGCTCTGACCTGCCCCCGGGAGAAACCCAGCCGTTCCACGCTGCCTGTCTGTTCGCAGCATCTTGTGCTGCAGAGGAGTGCTCTGCGGGCACCTGGGCACGGCCCTTTTCCAGCTGGGTTTTATACGGAGGGGGCTGCACTTGGGGTGATATTTTTCATGTCAAGTGAAAGAGGATGCACCAGTTTTTGAGCATTAGCTATAGCTGAGCTGGGATATTTTGCCTCTGCTTCCTTCTCAGCCTTGTCTGTGTAGACTAGAGGAAATTTAGGTTGGAGATTTTCATGGTGGGGTAGTCAAGCGTTGGAAAAGGCTGCCCAGAAAGCCCGTGGGATCTCCATCTCTGGAAGTTTTCAAGAGCAGGTTAGACCAGCACTCAGCCAGGATGGCTTCATCAGGGATTATCCTGCCGTGAACCAGGGGCCAGACTTGGTGATTTTCTTCTTAACTATGATCCTGAGTCCTTACCTATTTAGATTGTAAGCTCTTTGGAGCAGAGGCTCTTTCTCAAGGTGGTTGAAGGCAGCGGGAACTTTTTTCCATTGACATCAGAGGACTGCAGGATATGTTTATACAGGCTTGCCCAAGGCAGTGGGCCTCCTGTCTCATTAGGGGCCTTGGGTGCCACTTTATAATACAAGGGAGTGACAATGCTAACCATCCACTGGGATGCAGTGCGTGTCACAGCTGGTTTTAATAAAGCCACTGGGGTGGCAGTGTGTGCCAGGGGTTGGCTTTTCGTCAGCCTTGTAAAACAGTCAAATAAAACCTACTCGCCCCTTCCGTTGACTTCAGTCAGAAGTGCTAGCCTCCGTACGAAAGCAGGAGTGGTGGGGTGTAGGGTTAGATATTGAGGAGCTCCTGTGGACAAATCCTGGACAAATACTGGCATGCATATAAAGAACTGTGTATTTGTCTCTGAACACCTCCCAAGCTCTAATGCCACCCTGTAAGGGAGAGCAGGTGAATGGTCTTAAGAACTGAACCCGGGTTGCCCAAATCATAACCCGAGCCCCTACTGCCAAGTCTCTTCTCCTTTTGGTGCTCGTGCAGCATGGCACACCAAGCACGCTGGCTTCTGGCCTCACTCCCTTTCTCACACACCTGCCTAAATCTGGAGTCACTCCAGCACGCTCTGTAAATTGACACTGGGGTAAAACGGGTGAAAGAAATTGGAGCCAGGAGAGGAGGAAGCAAGGAGGAGCCCGGGGCCTTGAGAACGAGGTCCAGCCCTTATCAGTGGGGCAGGAAGGGCTGTTGAGAGTTGCACATGTCCTCCTTGGTTGGAGGTTACCAGATTCAGCTGGGTATAAGACTGAAGGCAAGAGGAAATGTGGGCACGTGTCTTCAGGAAAACGTGTGGCTCAATGGTTAGGGTGAAGGCCTGGAAAGCCCTTCCTGCCCCTGTGTATACTGCCTCTTTGTGACCTTGGGCCCACTAGCAGCCCTTTTGTGTGCTTAATCTGCCTTATCTGGAAACCAGCCTGTGCTTATCTGGCTCCTTGGGGGCTTTGATTAATGAATAGCATAAAGGGCTTGGAGATGCTCAGATGCAAAGTCCCACTCTGGTGCGAGTGGATCCTGGGCAGAGAAGAAACCTTTCTTCCCTCCAAAGAGGAAATGCTTTCCACCAAGAGCACTGAACCTCAGCCTGTCCTTTCTCTCTGGTCCCCAGCCCTGCGCGGTGCGTAAGCATCCTAACCCACCCTGTTCTGTTCTGCGAGGCACAGCTCATCCCCCCCAGCGATGCAGGGCAGGACTGGTGGGGCTGCTTGGTGAGGAAGGCCAGGGGGCACTTTTTTTCTGACCTCCCGCTCCCCTGTGCCCTTTCAGGAACAAAAGTTTTGCCAGCGCTACGACCAGCTGATGGAAGCCTGGGAAAAGAAAGTGGAGCGCATAGAGAACAACCCCCGGCGCCGCGCCAAGGAGAGCAAAGTGCGCGAGTACTATGAGAAGCAGTTCCCTGAGATCCGGAAGCAGCGGGAACTGCAAGAGCGCATGCAGAGGTTAGAGGATAAGCGGTAGGAAAGGGCTGAGCCCTGTAGCGGCCAGCCTTTCTCTTTCCTCTGTACAGGGTCCGGGCTTTAAGGGCGGGTTTAAATTCCCTTTTTGGGGAAACGAGCCCCTTTCTCCTTCCCCCCCCAGTGAGATAGCTGTCGGGTACATGAACCACAGGGCCCAATGAGCAAATAGCTCGGTTGCTCTCTCCCCGTGGGGGCTCCGTGTAGCTCAGACCGAAGACAGAGGATGAGGAATGCTAAGAATCCCGATTCCCATCTTCCTGGCCTTGCTGAGTTCCCGGTTGGCCACGGGGTAGCTCCTTGCTCCAAGCACCTGCTGGGGCCCTGTCTACCCTGCCCCAGCCCGGTAGGCCCAGCTCAGTACAGACAGCCTCACAGCAAGTTAATTATGTCGATGGTTAAAAGCCGTTCTCCTCTCGCTGCAAAACTCCCTGTCTCCAGCCCCTTCTTATTTAAACCAGATGGCGGTTGGCTTGAGATGCCGCCGCGAGTCAGGACCCAAGCCATGTCATGCGACGCTGCCAGTTTCCCCTGCCGCCTTTGGGGCGAGCGGAGTTGGTGCTTCCCAATGCTCTGCCCAGCAGCCTCCTTCTCTGTAACTTGTTTCTAACTTAAAAGGGGGCAACCAGATGTTTCAGACCCCAAATGAAGATGTTTTCTGTTTTCATAAGGCCGTAACGATCTGGTATTTGCAGTTTTCACAACGTTTCCTATTTTGATTGTCAAAATGCCTTTGTCTGGACTGAAGCTCTCGCCAGCAATGACTTTATTTTTAATTGCACCTAAAGATTTCTTTCGGTGTAAATGGTTCCCGGTAGGCTTTGCAACCCAAAGGCAGCGGCACTGGATGGAGGGGACAAAAGGGACCTTAATTTATGCCAGAGTCAGGCAGCTGGTGGGAGATTTTAACCCATCCATCAAGGTTGACGGTCCTGGGGGTGGGAGGTGACACAGGTAAGGGGCTGGCTTGGTGTTCGCTCATTGTAGGACTTGATCCTGCCTGCGTTTGTGACCAGTAACCCCAGCTAGTCCCCTTGCAGTTAGTGGAGCTGTATGTGGCATTGAGCACTACACCCACTAGCATCTGTAGGATTGGGGTTTGCAGTCTTTTAACTCGAATCAGTCCTGTGTTCTTGGGACCCTGAAGTTTGGGGTCCAACATGCTGCCCATGTGGTGCAGGTGTTTTTTGAAGGTAGGGGACATCACTGGAAAGGTTTTGTAGCCAGGCGGCTCTGAGAGGCTTGTGCCCCTCACCTGATGCCTCCCCCTCCCCCTGCCCTCCGAAGTGGCCTCTGTTTACTGTTGTGACTGTCCCTCCATTCAGCGGGGCTGGCTCGCCCTTTCAGATGCAAGTAGTCACCATCAGTGTGTGAGGCACGGTGCCAAGTACAAAATGCAGCTTGCCGTTTTCAGTTTCTCGCTGCCATTTCCCAGCAGGGTAGGACAGAGGGGCAGCGGTCTCTCCATGTCGGCTGCGCGCAGCGAACACGAGGTGTCGGAAATTATTGACGGGCTCTCGGAGCAAGAGGTGAGACCCGAGCACCGTTCCTCCTTCCCTCTCTCTCCCCTGCACGTCCCCTCCACCCCCCATTTTCCTTTCCCCTCTGGGGCCGTCTGTAGTCGCAGCCGGCCCTGCCCATGGAACTTGAATACCAGCGCCGGGTTAAATTTAAAGGCCAAGCTGTGGTCAGTATACGTTGCTGTGGGCTCAATAACACAGGTTTCTGGGCTATTTTTTAGTAGCAGCCATAGTTTTGCACGGGGATTCCCATGAAATGAGTGGCTTGTATCTTAGCAAGCCATATCGCCTTCCTGCAAGAGCTCTGTTCATCCTCAAAACACCCCACAGACGATGGCTTCTCTTGGATCTTGTTTCACAAGGGTTGCTCTGGCTTGCCACCGATGACAGACTGTGTTGAATAGACTCAGGGTTGGGAGGGAAGAGCAATAGAGATGATTGCTGTAGGTGCAGGACACTACGCTCCCTGCCCTTGGTTAGAGGGAATGGGCTGTTCCCCAGTTGCAGAGTCAATCGAGAGTATCCCTCTCAGCTGTAGTGAGAAGCTTCACCGTTTCATAGGGTCTAAGGCTAGGGAGGGACCACCAGAGCATCTTTTGTGACCTGCATATTGCAGGCCATTGAGTCTCACCCAGATATCCTTCTGCGGGCCCAAAACTCTCTTCCCAGAGGAGAGTTTAAGATGGTCCTTGCAGCCATTCACCTTTGTGCAGTGTTTAAGGCAGGGAAGCAGTCCCATCACACAGGGGCCGTTAGCTCACCATTCAGCACAGTGTTCCTTCTGACGAGAGACTAGGGGTGGAAAGTGCAACGTGTGCATTTCTGCCACCACCAAGCAGAAGATTTGAACTCAGTGCCCTGCCTTGGTGGCAGTCCTGCTGCGTTACTTGTGTAAACAGCCTCACTGCACACATCGTGCTTCTGCTTGCTGCATTTTGCTCATGTTTTACAGGTCCGCTGCGGTCAGGATCCACCCCATATCGCAATGAGAACTGGCTTTTGCCTCTCGCCATGCAAGAACCTCCCTTTAGCTTTTGGAGTAATGCTTTTAGGGGAGATACTGCCGCCCTGAGGCTTTGTATCAGGGTTTGAGGCTGTGGTGAACCCAACTGTTGTGGCCAAATGTAAGGCCGGGTGCTGTGCCATGGACCGTTGAATGCTCTTTGCCTGGCACTTGCTCCTGGAACCGTATCTCCTTCCATGTCAGGCTATGGTATTTAGGCCTCATTTGGTCAGTGGAGCAGGGAGGTCCTGTGCAGAGTCAGACCACCACTAGGCTGGCCCTTCTCTATCCTATTATAGGTTTGGCATCTTCAAAGGTATTAACTCCCCGTGACACATCCAGGTCAGAACATGGCCACCCACAGTGGAGCTTCCTTGACCCATAATCAACTAGGGTCAGATTAGGAGACCCTTGCTCACCTTGGGTAGATGTCTTCCCTCATGACAAGCAGCACTGGAGTCCACCGGGCCTACTCATTGTGTGTCATGCACAATGCAAGGAGTCAGGATTCTGGGTAGGGATGACACCTTTTATTAGACCACTGAGATATTTGCCCCAAAATTGCAAAACGAACAACACGTACAATGCAGTTGGCTGATCCAGGAAAAATACAACAAGAATCAAAACACTTGGAGGAGGTGATATCTTTTATTAGACAGACTAGATATTTGCAAACAAATCGTTTTATTTATTTGCAGGCTTTTGGGCACACTCACCCTTCATCAGGCATAGGAGAGAGCAGAGATTGTAACAGGTTTCCCAGGTAGAAATGAAAATTCCTGTGAATGAAAGGGGAAGTTTTGTAATCTCTACCCTCTCCTATACCTGACGAAGGGCGAGCGTGCCCAAAAGCTTGCAAATAAATAAAACGATTCGTTTTGCAAATATCTAGTCGGTCTAATAAAAGATATCACCTCTTCCACGCATTTTGATTCCTTTTGCCTGTAGACCAATACAGCTACAACCTGGATACATGAAAAATGCAGTGCATGCCTGTAAATGCGGGGCAGCAGTACCACGTGGAAATCAGCCCTGTTTGGTAGCCCACGCAGAGCAAGCTCGGGGATTTAGCTTAGTATGCTAAAGCAGTTGTCTCTCGGTGCATTCAATTCAGTTTCAAACCCAATAGAGAGGAGGAAAGAACGGGAGAACAATGTTAGGAAACCCTCCCCCCAAAACATATCCCTGGGATGCGAGTGGAGACAGACGCCTCCTCCGCACCCTGCGTTCAGCAAAGCAGCACTTGGACCGGGGCTCTTGGGGATCTGGGCCGCCTTCGCTTGCACCCTGGGATTGGAGCTGCCCTCGTGGTTTTATTTGCAAAGCCAACCTCCCGCCGCAGCGGGTTTAGCGAGCCTTAAGGCTCCCTGGGGTTTTGCTTGTGTCTCCTCACCGCTGTGGCTCGGTTTCCTCAGGTCAGGCAGTGCATCTGAGAAGCCTTTTGCTTCCAAGTGGAAGATGAATGGTTTCCCATCTGACGGCGAAAGCTGCCTTCAGCATTTAATTTACAATTACTCCCGCAGTAAAGCTGTCTTGCCCTGGCCTATGAATTCTCTTCTTCTTCCCTCTCTTGTCCTTTTCCTGGGAACATCTGTGTCTTGCAGTTGTCCCACGGGCTCCACGGTGCTGACAAGGTGTTCTCCGCGCTTTCCCCACAGAACCTGGAGAAGCAGATGCGCCAGCTCGCCGTCATCCCCCCCATGTTGTATGATGCTGACCAGCAGCGCATTAAATTCATCAACATGAACGGCCTCATGGACGACCCCATGAAGGTCTACAAGGACCGGCAAGTGATGAACATGTGGAGCGAGCAGGAGAAGGAAACCTTCCGGGAAAAGTGAGTAGAACAAAGACGCTTCTTACAGTTTCAGGTGGGAACCTGTGGTTGGAAATCGCGGGGTAACAACTTGGGGGCTAGATGCTGAAGTGCTTAGACAGGCTGGTCGTGGTGGACAGCGGTAGCCCAGGGTCTTTTGCTGCAGCAGCCGGGTTCCCTGCTGTAGCTCAAATGGCTGCTGTGCTGTAGGAGGCAAAGACTGGTGACTCAAGTGAATCCACGGACGGCTCCGTCTGTCCATGCCAGGAAAAGTGAACAAGCTGAGTTTAGCAAAAGGGACGTGGGCAGGGCTGAGAAGTGTGTCCGGGTAGCTGGGATGAGGGTTTGGCTTTGCAAAACGCAAGCACACAACACTGGAGACGCTGCATGTGAGAATGGAAAATGCTTTGGGCTAGGTGGCAGGGTGAGTGGCCGTGCCTTGTGTTTGGTCCTGGGCATAGGGGTGTGAAACGGGTGCTCAGCGTATGCAAGACAAGGTTTTCTCACATTGGCAGAGAGCCTCTGGGCTGATCTCAGGCAGAGGCAGCTGGCCAGCGATTGAGGAAGCTCAGTCATAGTTTAGAAACTTACTCCCAGACCTAGGGGTAGGGCTGGCCACCCCCTTCCCAGCCCCCCCGGATTGTTTAAGTCTCCTTTTTAACCGTCTGATCTTTCCTTACTGAAGTTACCCCCCTCCCTTCTTGTAGTCATGAGACTGAATAGTAAGCCCAGGTTGTCATGATAAGTCGGCATGGATTTCGCAGAGGTAAAATTAAATCGTTGAGATGCAAAGAGTCAGTGTCCTGTCTGTAATTAGCACTTGAATGTGGATGGTTTCAGGGCTGGCACACCCTCACCACGGCCCCTTCACACACGGTCTGGGCACCCGTCCCCTTGGAAATCTGCTCTTTCTGTTAGGAAAAACAATTCATTTCATGCTTTCACGTAGCTCCTTAAATGGGCCAGGTTAAGGGAGGGTCAGCGAAACACGATACTTGGTGCCTTGCACTGTTGTCCTGCTAACGCCAGATACCCTCCTTTTGGGCACCGCGTGTTTTGTAGTTGTCTAGGGAGACTCCTGGGACTCGGATTGTCAGACTAATCTGTCCGGACACCCACGGGTTTCATCTTCCAGTTGCCTTCCACCGCACTCCTCCCCTATAGCTCGTGCCTTGTAGCAGAGCTTACCAAGCTGGCAGCTACTGTCCCTGCAGGTACCTGCTCCAGCAGAGATGTTTCCATGTTGGATGTTCTCTTCTCAGACCAAGCTTTGGTTGGGACAACTTCTGTCTAAGGAGAGCTATGGGTGCCCTTTTGGGGAATTCAGACCTGCTTCTCCGATTCTGATCTCTGGCAGGGAGAGGGCTATCAGCCCACAGCTCTGGGGCCACTTTCTGCCAGGAAGGCCGCAGAGGTTATTTTTGGTCGGGGTACCATTATTTCCAGAAGGTGGTTTAAAAAGTGCAGTTTCTCCAGCTTCCTTTGGCAGCAACGGATAGCTCAAGGTTTAATGGCCACGGTCCCAACAGGCAGTAATTTAGACCAGGGCTGTACAATTGGCAGCCCATGGGCTGCGTGTGGCCTGCAAGGGGTTACATTATGGCCTGCAGGGATTATTGGCACGGCTTTGAAACTTGGGGGATGAATGCAGCCCCTGCCAGGTGCCACATTCAGGGCCTTGGGTCGTTGCAGGCAACTGCGGTTGGCAGCCGGAAAAAGAGAGATGAGCATCAGCGAGATCCACCCCTTGTGCTCCAGAGCTGCTGTGCCTTCAGCAGTGGTTTGCCCAGCTCATGGGGCAAAATGAGTTGGACAGCCCCGCTTTGGTGTTTATCTGCCCCTCACTGAAGTGGAAACTACAGCGAACACTTTTCTGAATGAGACTATTTGTGAGACACCTGGTCTCTCCCAGCTTTATCTGTGCCAGGAGTGCCTTCAAGGGAACTTCTTCACGGCGGTTACTCCTGCTGGCAGCTGAAACAAAACACTTGCAAAGATGCACAAAAGCCCTTTGTGATGACCTTGCTTTGGTTATTTATTACTCTGGTTACTTTTTAGCTGTTTTAAAAAATATATGGCATGCTCTCAGACCTGCAAGTATTGCTCTGCCACGGTGAGCAGGGTAATTACTCAAGCTTCGATGTAAGGAACACCCAATGGGTCTTGCCTAGATAAAAGCCCTGGAAAACTCCCCACGTGACGGCGTTGTGTGAGCGTGATCGTGTCGTTTGTGCCATTGTGTGTCATGCACAATGCAAGGAGTCAGGATTCTGGGTAGGGGTGACACCTTTTATTAGACCACCGAGATACTTGCCCCAAAATTGCAAAACACACGGCACATGTACAATGCAATTTGAAGGATCCACAAATGGTTGCTTAACCAAACTTCAGCCTGTAACGCTCTCCCAACCCCATGGAAACTAACTGGGATCCTTCCCCTTCAACCCACTCAGCCCCAGTCACCATCACAGCAGTTAGAAATAGCCCTTTCAGCCTTGAAGCTAAGCAGATTTAACCAAATAAATGCCCAGCTCAAGAGAGATTACCACGGGGTTCAAGCTTCATCCTGCCGCCTTTTTTCAGTCTTTGAATCTGCCCCAAATTGGCCATGTGCTGCCATTAGCAGTAAGGTGTTCTCTGTTGTTTTGCATGGTGGCAGCATCCAGAAGGCCCAGCTAAGGACTGGAACTTGGTACTCAGCCTTGCACACGAACATCATTGAAAGGTTTGAAAGGTAGCCCCTGCACAGGCTGAGAGCGTGACCCTGGCTGGTGACAATAAGGTTTTCTTTGAAAGTACAGCTTGTCCCTGGCATCAGAAGTACCTCTGAGCACTAGGAGCCTGGCGAACCCTGACTTTGAAAGGCACGTTGTTGTTTGCATTGCTGCACTCTGAATGTGCCAGTGTCATGCATATTTATAAAACCGCAGTAAAACCACATTCCTTGATCAGCCATTTATTTGTGCCGTGTACTACATGACAGCCAGGCTTCAGCACTGTGATGTGAGCCCACTTTCTGAGAGAATCTCTGTTTCTCCTTCTGGGGGTTTTTTTTTCCCCCCTTTTTTGTTTTTTTTGGGTTTTGTTTTTCTTTTTTAATCATGTGCCACAGAACAGCTCTCCAGAGTGTGGTGTTAAATTTGTGTAGATTCACACTTCAAGGCACTTTATGTAACAAAGCTGGCAGCTGCAAATGGGTGAAGTTTAAAGGTGTCTTTCTTGTAAGCTCCAGAGATAGTTGTGTTCCCAC